CACTGGGGAAACCTCTTTTTGAAGCACCCTGAAAGGACTTTTATTAGAAAGAACGGGATCCTATATAATAAAAGCCTAATATGCTAAGTGTCCGGTCATCTGGTGACCAGTCGACTATTCAACCAATCAAAGCGCAATATGCTAAGGCTGCTCAACCGCTCACTATGACATGCACTGACCACCAGGGGGCAGATGCTCTGACCAGTAGGTTAGCTTGCTGCTGGGGTCTGGCCAATAGGGACTGAGCAAGATGGGCCGGGACATGCCCTGGAGCCCTGCCGCAGTCCCTCCCTGGCCCGATTGTGCATTGGTGGGGTCCTTCGGCCTGGCCTGCGCCCTCTTGCAATCCAGGACCCCTTGGGGGATGCTGGAAAGCCGGTTTCAGCCCAATTTACAGGCCACTCCTCTTGGAAGGGCGCCAGACGCAGGGCTCCCAGCTAGAGGCAGGTAGGAGCTGCAGGCGGCATTGGACTGAGGGTTTCTGCCCGATCTCTGCAGGCTACCCAGAGGGGCCCCACTCAGGCATGAATTTGTGCACCAGGCCTCTAGTTTTAAAATAGTATGAATAGTCAATTCCTAGGTTGTATGCACTGAGTTAATATTTTCATTATATTTTAAGTGCTTTCAAAAGCCCTGCCCACACTTATTACAGAGGATCTGGGATCACTGTCCTGCCATCTCTGGTCACCAATCAAAAGCCAACAAATGAACATGAAAGGGGGCACTTGTCTGCAGGGTCACATTTATGCCCCAAATCCCTTTCTTGGGCTTTTCCAGTGGTAGGACTGTCTCACCAAGATATAAATAAAACGCCTCGGAACCGCCTCCCAGGACACTGCGGCTCAGGACTGTTCCTGCCACTGCAACTGACCCTGGGCCCAAACCTGGCACCGGGGCCAGGGCTTCCACCTACTGAGTCTGGGAAGGTGGCAGGCTCTTTCCACCTACTGAGTCTGGGAAGGTGCCCCAAATGCTAACTTCCCTGGGCCTCGAGAAGGTTTGAAAATACATTCCTCCCGCCTCGCCACGAAGCCTGTGTCTCTAGGAAGTGCAGTGCTGACACCTGAAACTGACTGCGTGTGCACTGGGGAGATTAGGCTGCCCGCTGCAGCTCCTGGGACTCGGATGCTGGCGGCTCTGCTGGCGGCTGTGCCCAGCCCAGGGCGGAAATTCTCACCCTCCTTCTGACTGTGATGGGGACATGTCTGATTATTTCTCAGAGAGTCAGAGCAAGTGACCTTCACTATGAATAACAAGCGGCAGGGTGTGAGAAATGACCCGTCCGAATTTCAATGACAGACTGGGGAACAGAAGCGTGGTGAAAATGAGACTTTTAATAACACTCTCGGGAGCAGGCATTGTACAGCACATGTGGGCAGGGATCATAGCCTATTTATTTAGTCCCTCCTCCAGTTCCTCATTGGCTGGTACTATGAGGCCACCTGTTTCCTATACGTCGCCTAGGTCTTGCTGTCTTACGTTGGGCCATTTAAGAATTGGGCTGAGGCCTTCCTCGCTGCCTCCGCCTCCCCCACCCCCCACTGTCTAGCTGAGGCAGATGCCTGGGGAGGAGGGGTTCCACCATGATGCTGGCCCCACATTCTGCTTGCCCTGGGGAAATTCCGCAAATTCCCTCAGAAGCCGACCATGCTGGAGATGGATCACAGAGGTCCATTTCTTACAAAAGGGAAAAAAGGGACAATATTAAGCTAAGAGATCTTGAAGGGAACAGATCATGGGAGAGAAAACACTTCATGCAGCCAAAGAGAGGCAAAGAGTCACTAAGGAGGAATAAGTTTTAAAAGTAAAAAGGAAAATACATGAGAGGGAACAAGGCATTAAGGGAAACTCATTGTGAGAACTGTTCAGGTAAACGCACCAGGAAATGGGGTGCAGATATAAGGAAGGGAAATGAAAACAAGTGAAATGTCAAAATCATAACCACATGCACACACACACTCACACATGCATTCACACACACATGCATTCACACACACATACACACTCAGAAGAAGAAGAAAGTAAAAAGCCTATTACAGGCAGAAGAAGATAGTTACCAAAATCTCTCAACCCCTGTGGGGATCGAGATGGCGCCTGTGGAATAAAGGGTGAGGGAGAGAGGCTGGGGGTGCAGAGGGGACGTGGTCCCAGCAGTGATAT